ACACACACCACTCTCTCTCTCTCTCTCTCTCATGCACACACACACACCTCTCTCGCTCGCTCGCGCACGCACGCACCAACACACACCTCTCTCTCTCTCTCTCACGCGCGCACACAAAGTTTCCTAAATGCATCTACTTTCGGAAGGCCAAATAAAGTGCTTTCGCACTGAAACACACAGCATCTCCCTGACATGCTGCTTCAACACTAACTTTGGTTACTGAAACCACGCCTTCTTTCTTTGCGTGAACATTTGGGCGGCATTATGCTAATATTTCCACATAGTGAAGTAGATATGTGGGGGTGTGTTAGAACGAGCCGTTTTAGGTAGGCGAGGCAGAGTCTTAACTTTGATAAAGAAATATCTCTTTGGTTTTGAGACTTTAGTCTTTGCAACTTTACAGATCTTCTTTATGCACCAAGAGCTTGTAACACTCCAAAGAGATGACCCCTTTAAATTAGCTTTAGAAGAATCGGAAAACACTGGTGTGTGATTTGAGCTCTTGCAACTAATTGCCAGAACATGAAAGTGTAGGAAATTAGCTCAAAAGGCAAATATTAATAATTAATCAACTTATTATAAATACTTGGATCAGCTAATGGAATTAATGTTAAAATCAACAAGCCTGTTAACTGTTTATTAATTCTAAGAAATGTTTATTTCCAGGGTATGGGAAATAACGTTCTTAATGTGCAATACTACTCGGAGCATGAAGCCAAAATCTGCATGATCAGGAACTCCAGTTATGAGCAAAACAACATGCAACCTTGAGTGTGATTTCTTTTTTTTTTTTTTTTTTTCCTGGCAGAAAAAAACTAATTCTGTTTAATTCAGAACGGAGTAGAAAAACAAAAGAAATACACCAAAACCAAAGACAAACATGGAATGTGTAGTGCAACGATACTCCCCAGCCTTCCAATACATGTGAGAAGAAAAAATTTGTATAAACAATAATAACAATAGTAATATTATTAATAATAATAATTTACAATTGAAATATATATAATATATACAGATCTAGTATGGACCCATTACTATTAATGATAATAATAAAACGAAAAACTATATACAAAAAAGGAGAGATAAATATATATATATATATATATATATCGTCCAGATCGGTGGCAGCAGCTTCAAAGACGCTCCAATCAGTGATGTCAAAACAAGCTTGTAAATCCTGCTCTGCTTCATTAGTCCATCTTTTTACAGTCCTTAATACAGGTTTAGCTGATTTCAGTTTTTGCCTGTAGGTCGGTATAAGATGAACCAAGCAGTGATCAGAGAGCCCCAAAGCTGCTCGTGGGACAGAGTGATATGCATTCTTTATTGTGGTGTAACAGTGATCCAATATATTACTGTCTCTGGTGGGACATGTGATGTGCTGTCTGCATTTTGGCAGTTCACGGGAGAGATTGGCTTTATTAAAGTCCCCGAGAATGATTAAAACAGAGTCCGGGTGTTGTTGTTGTGATCTGTGATCTCATCAGCGAGATTCTGTAAAGCTGAGCTCACGTGTGCTTGCGGAGGAATGTAGACACTGACGAGAATGAACGAGCAAAACTCCCGCGGTGAATAGAACGGCTTACAGTTAATGAAGAGCACTTCTAGATCTGAACAGCACATCTTCTTTAACACAGTTACATCTGTACACCACCTCTCATTGATGTAAAAGCATGTCCCGCCACCGCGTGATTTCCCTGTTGATTCTGCGTCGCGATCTGCTCTGAACAGCTGAAAGCCCGGGAGACTCAACGCGCTGTCCGGAATGGCGTCTTTCAGCCAGGTTTCCGTGAAACACAGAGCAGCAGAGTTAGAAAAATCCTTATTTGTCCGGGAGAGCAGAATGAGTTCGTCTGTTTTGTTGGGTAAAGAGCGGAGGTTCGCCAGATGGATGCTAGGCAACGGCGTTCTGAATCCGCGCTGTCTGAGCTTGACGAGCGCGCCGGCTCGCTTCCCCCGTCTGCGCGTCCTGAAGCGCTTGATCAGCGCCACAGCTCCCCCGACAACAATGTCCAGCAAAACATCCGAATAGTCGAAAACCGGTGAAATATCGGGTGGTGTGTACTTCCGAATGTCCAGCAATTCGTCTCTGGTGAAACTGATTGCAGGGATATAACTAAAGACAGGACAAACTAACAAAAACATAAAAACAACTGCAGAGCACGCCACGGAGGCAGCCATCAGCGTCGGCGCCATTGTAACACCCATTTTTATCATTTTAATATAATATGTAAAATTCAATGTATAGTAAATTATTGTTTTTGTTACCATTGCCATCCTGAGAAAATGGCTTATATATATATATATATATATAAAAAGTGTGATACAAACAAGACTTTATTAACTACACTAAACACTTGAACTATTCTAACACAGAGTTTAGCAATGGAAAGAGAGCTTAAGCAGAGTACAGGAATGAAAGATGTTATAGTATTGTTTGAGATTCAGCAGATCAACAGTCTTGAGCAAACCATTAGTTTCTTAGTTGTAACACACTCTTCTTTAAAAGGGGTGGGGATACTTAATGGATCAAACAGTGAGACTAAGTTTGATACTTGCATGTCTTGCCCATTTGAATAAAAGTGTCCTGATGCAGTTTGTTGTGAGAGAACCAGCTGAAGTCTGAGGATCTTTGGTGAATGGAAACAAACTTAGCCTGGCACAAACTTAGGGGTCCTTAGAAGACTTCTGGCTCAGCATCCTCATCTTCTCAGAATCTAAAAACAAGGCCGGATCAGTGATCTTTAAAGTGTGAGGACGTGTGCCACAGAGTTAGCGAAATGTATTGTAAATGAACAAATCTTGGTTAAAGGGGTCATATGATGCGACTTCAATTTGTCCTTTCTCTTTGGAGTGTTACAAGCTCTTGGTGCATAAAGAAGATCCGTAAAGTCTCAAATCCAAAGAGATATTCTTTATAAAAGTTAAGAGTCAACCACGCCTACCTAAACGGCTCGTTCTAACACGCCCCCACATATCTACGTCACGATGTGGGAAGATTTGCTACAATGCCGGCTGCTCTCACAGACTGCAAGTTTTTTTATATTTAAATAATTTGCCACTGACGATTCAAACGTGAGTTTTGAGCAGTGTAGAGTAGGGCTTGTTGTTTGTCATTTCTCCGATCACAAATGCAGACATGGTTTTATTTTTACGTGGCGCGATGAAACACAACGCGTAAAAAGACAGTATAAGTCATTATAATCCGTAATTATGTCCCCATTGGATGCAACAAAAGCCTAGTTTATAATGGGTTTTAATGTTTTTGTCTCGTCGTGCCGGGACACAGCATCACAGTATGTTAAGGGGCGTAACATTCACGTAACATTACATAGCCAATCACAACGCATTGGATAACTGGCCAATCAGAGCACACCTCGCTTTTCAGAACGATGAGCTTTGTAAAAATCGATGCGTTTCAGAAAGGCGGGGCATAGAGGAGAAACAATAATGTACAGTATGTGGAAAATAATGTGTTTTTTTAACCTTAAACCGCGTAAACGCATTTCATTACACCAAATACACAAAATAATGTTCTTTTTAGCAACATGACCCCTTTAATTAAGTAATACTAAAATGTTCATTCAAGGTTTAATATATAGGCAAAACACTAAAAAAGAGCATATGATTATTTAGGATACATGGTTGTACATTCCTCAGGTGAATAGTAGACACAATGTTCTAGAATATGCATGTTTGTCTGGAAAGGTCCATTCTATAGGCCTGTGTCTGTCTGTTTCATTGCACATAGCATCTTTCCACATACTTTTGAGCAATAAAACAGTCAGACAGTAGCCCGGGTAACTGAGCCCTTTCAGGATGGTTCATGGAACTCACAGAGTGGGTTTTAAGGATTATTTGTTAAATATAACAAATAATTGTGTCTGATCAGTCCAGCCGTTTCCAGAAGAATTTCCAACTGAACACAGAAGAGTCTTTGATTGTGAATGCGTGGCTCTGTTGTTAATGCAGTAGTGTTTGTATCCTATAGGGGGCCATATGTGACTTCTGTGAGGCCTGGGTTTGCCATGGAAAGAAGTGCTTGAGTACCCATGCCTGCTCCTGCCCTCTTTCTGACGCAGATTGCATTGAGTGTGACCGCAGTGTTTGGGAACATGGTAAAGAGCAAGCATTCATGTCTACTATGGCACAAACAGTCACCATCAGTTACCAGTAACATGAGTTTTGTAATCATATTACTTTTTTTCCCCCCCAGTAACTAGTAATGCATTACTTTTAAATTTACAACAAAATATCTGAGTTACTTTGTTTTCCCATTTATTCACTGACACGTCTCCTGTCCCTGTGTTGAGAGAAATCGGAAGTGAGGTGCAGAGGCACTTTCTTCAGCCAGCCTTTTAATTTCACTTTTGGTGTGAAAAGGCCTTTACAGTTGCCAAAATATACTTTTGGGGTTATTAAAAAAACCAAATAAGCAAGCCTAGGTCGACAAAAAGTAACACAAGTAATGTCATGCATTACTTTCCATAAAAAGTAACTAAGCAATGCAATTAGTTACTTTTTTTTATGGAGTAACGCAATATTGTAAGGCATCACTTTTAAAAGTAACTTTCCTCTAAATCAGCTGTTCTCTGTTTTAATATAGTTGGAGAAACCAGTCAAATCCTGTTTGTTGTTTAATGTACAGGTGGTCGCATTTTCCACTGCTCTTTTTGCCACAACTTCCTGTGTGAGGATGATCAGTTTGAACACCAGGCGAGCTGTCAGGTCCTGGAAGCAGAGACTTATAAATGTACGTCTGTCTGTCTATGGTTTTTCTGAATAATCTTCTTTTCATTACGACATTCAACTTTATTGACTTTTGCCCCAATTGCAGGTTTATCTTGTAATCGTCTCGGCCAGCATTCTTGTCTCCGATGCAAGGTTATAATTTTCATCAGTCTGATTTGTTTGTATACATACATTGTTTGGACAACCTATGATTGAAATGCTGTTTTTGTAGGCATGTTTCTGTGACGATCACGCTCGAAGCAAAGTGTTCAAGCAGGAGAAAGGCAAGGCTCCTCCGTGCCCAAAGTGTGGACATGAAACTCAGGAGACCAAAGATCTCAGCATGTCCAGTGAGTGCCGTCTGCTATCTACTACTATTTTTTCTAATCTTAATTTTGTGACATCTAAATTGAGACATTTTATTCCATATAGTTAATTCATCAAAATAATATATAGTCAATTAATCAAAATAAAATGCTAAATATGATAATATAATTCTCAAAATGATCATTTAAAAATATTTTTTTAAATATACAATACAAATAATAGCTGTTTTTTTTAACTAAAACCGTAAAAACATTTTTGTTACATGAAATAAACATGAATTGAAATAAAATATAAATACAACTTATTTTAATTCAGCTAGTTGCCAAGGCAACATTTCTCATTTTCATTTAGTCTAATTTAAAGTACTAAAATAACAAACTAAATAAACTTAAAATAATATATATATATAAAAAATGTAAAGGGAACAGGCAAACTAATAAAAATGACAACACAATACATTCACAAAAACTTACTAAAATTAAAGTGAAAACAAAATGTTTTATTCAGTATATAAAAACATTTAAAAAAAATCTAAATCTAAAAATATTTATACAAATATTTATTTTAAAAAATCTCATTTAAAATATTAAAAATCATGAAAACGATAATAGTATAACAATATAAACTATAGTAAAGTATAGTATAAATAACACCGGTTTTGAGTAGCAGTTAGATGTCTGGTACTAACCGGATGGTTTTGTTGATGTTCTTGCAGCCCGAACACACAAATTTGGCCGGCAGAGTGGCGGTGACGAGGACGGATATGGTGCATCTGGATACAGCTCCTACTGGAAAAATCTGGAATCTGGTGGGGGATACAAAGATGAGGAGGATATCGAGGAGGACGATGACTTTGATGATGATGATGATTATGAAGAGGAGGAAGATGACGACGACGATGATGAGGAGGAGGAAGACGACCCAAAGGTGGAGGACTCGCTCTCAAATCTGAGTTTGGAAGCAAGTGGAAAGACCCAATAAAAACACACAATACGTAGATGGGATTCAGAAATTCAGACATAGGTGTCATCTAAGAATCTGAGCTTTACCGTGTCAGATATTTGGCCTTTTACTTAAGGTTTTCTGCATTGCATTGATATGAATGTGTGCATAAATGTCTGACATTGTCACCTTTTTGAATTTCAAATATATCTGAAGAAATGTTTTTAAAAGTCAGTTGTTTTGTTTTTATTTAATGGGATTTGTGTGCCTCTTTTGATACAATAATGCAGAGAAGACACAGCTTGTAATCTCTTAGGACACATACACACCAGATGCAGTTATTTATGGTGACCCATACTTGTAATTAGTGCTCTGCATTTATCCCATCCAAAGTGCCCACACACAGCTGTGAACACACGCACACACCCGGAGCAGTGAGCAGCCATTTTTTTTCAATGGGTGTCAGTATTAAGTTGACTTTTGGCATTAAAATAGTACTGTTAGGATTTGCTAAAGCAGTGAAGAATTAGCGCTGAAAAGGCCTGGACAGTTATTTTTGTGCCTGACCTTTTTTTTTTTTTTTTAAACTAACGTTTGCACTATCATTATTTAACGCTCCAAAAGAAAGCATGTCCAAAAGCTTTTTTGAATTGCACTCATGCTAATTTGCCGTGTTTAGTACATTTTTCCTGCAGTTTAGCTCCAACCCTAATCAAGCACACCCGAACAATCCAATCAAGTGCTGTGGCTCAATGTGTCTACTTATACTACCTTTAAAGTATGTACTCTTTTGGTGAAGAAAAAGTACACACTTTTGAGTGTGTAGTAATAGAGTAGGCAAGCTTTGGGACATACTATCACTTCACACAACTGTGGGTCTTTAACAGACGCTCTGTCACTGTAAACTGATCTGTCAATCATCTTGTCACAGTTAACATCCTCCACATTGCATTTAATTTAACTTCCTACCATATTGTAGAGAAAAGAAGTAGCACATTGATCTGCCAGTCACGGGTCTTTCAAGCCGAGAACAATGCTCATATTTCATGCATAATGATGCATTTCAAAGTTAACGACCAAACGGATGTTTAATATGAAAGATAACAGATAACATTAAATATTTTTTTTACCAGGTTAAATGTTGAATATTAGTAACTCAAACACCTTTTTCTAAGCCTCTCTACCTAACTGCCGGTCGCGCACATCCGCCATGTTTGTAGTTTTAACGCTTTTTATTAGTGTTTGTAGTTCTGGACCGAATCCTTCAACAAAGCGCAATGGATTGTGGGCAATATTAGCATTAGAGTGTGCACGGATCCACACTTCAAAAAAATCGACCTGAAATAGTAGACCATCCGGGAACTTTTGGCATGCTCTTTTCAACATACCATGCTTTGGGACACACTTATTCTAATATCGCATACTATTTAGGATGGATAGTATGAACATTGAGAAGCAGGGGCTGTCTTCTGGGGCCCTTTCTTCGTACGTCGCTTATTACATCCGAGATTAAATGTCACATCCAAGATGATATCATCGCGCTAATCAGGATCTGGCTAATTCGGTTCTTCGAACGCACCTGTTGTATATGATTAGTATGGCCGGATTGAGTTATCCGAGATAATTGTGCGTTCATGGGTTGGTTTAAAAGGGGCTATGTATCGATCGATATTCAAAACCACGATCAGCAATGCAGTGATTGGCTGGCGGCAAGACAAATTTTGGCTGACGAAAAACGTAACAAATTTTTGGACTTTTATAAGGAACCAGCCAAGCGAACAAAACTACATAAATGTTATAATAGATAAATTAAATGTGCGCTGTTTTTATTTTTTATTTTTTTTACATGATTCCCAATTATTTATATTCAAGATTTCTAATATTTGTACAGGCTTTACATTTTTATTTTAATGTAATAATTAGCAATTCATTTAATTTTATATTTGAACAGATTTGTTACGTGACAGCATTAATTAAAGTTTCTTAAGATCATGTTATCTGCGTCTCCTGCGCTCCCATAATGTCAGCACGCAAATGAATGCACGACTCTACATTATCTGTATAGCATGTGTGTAAGACTCGAATACAATTATGAAAATGATTTTACGACGAATAAATCTTAAAGTACACTACAGTATTAAAGACTACACAACATAATTATATTAATTTTAAATTAATTTTTAAATGGTTATTATTTTAAATGATTGTCCCTGGTTCAGTAGGGTGCTCTTGTAATAAAGTAGCGGCGGCTGAGACCGATTTTAAGTATCAATTCTGCTTAAAAAGATGCAATCTAATCCTGTTTACATGAAATAAGCCCGCTCCCGATCAGGTTTAAGTTTACAGAGCTGTTGCTATGACAGCAACTCCGGGATGAGCTTCGAAGAATCAAACAATCCAAGATCATGCCAAATCATCAACAATCAAATCCAGCTTACTGAGTTAGCGACGTACGACGAATGGGCGAAAGTCAGTGGCAGGCGAGTTTGATCAAAGTTGGAGCTTACTCTGCAGGAAAGTGGACCTCCAGGGCCAGAGTTGAGAGCCCCTGCTATATTGTTTGATAATTTTCTGTTTAGCTTTTGTAAAGCAGCTTCAGCATTAATAATTGCTCTAAATAAAGTAAACTTAATGTTATTATCAGTGGTAGCAGATGTAGTAACAAGTGGTCAACAGCGCGACAAGCTGGTCACGTGACCTCAAGATGGCCGAGGCCATGAGGGGGCGACCCGCTCTATGCAAAAGTTCAATTTCAACACTGATGACTTCTTCAACTCATGTCAGCGCGCATTATTTTAATTATACTTTTCTAAATTTCCATTATTTTTTTTCTACAAATTACTGAGTGCATATTTAGCAATTTACCTTGATGACTTTTTAGAAGTCCTTAAATAACCTTATCTCTCAATGTCAGTGGACAGCTAACCGCTGTTTCTGCTTCCCTTCCATGAACTCGCTTATTCGTGGACCCGAGATTACTGTGTATTTAACACCACAAACAAAGTTGTTGCCGAGTTACACAGTTTTTTTAAAAGCCAAGTCAAGTACTCTAACTGCGCTGTCAAAGTGAAAGAGCTCCGTGACGTTTTTTTTTTGCCCGACCCTTTTTTTTTTTTTTTAAACTAACGTTTGCACTATCATTATTTAACGCTCCAAAAGAAAGCATGTCCAAAAGCTTTTTTGAATTGCACTCATGCTAATTTGCCGTGTTTAGTACATTTTTCCTGCAGTTTAGCTCCAACCCTAATCAAGCACACCCGAACAATCCAATCAAGTGCTGTGGCTCAATGTGTCTACTTATACTACCTTTAAAGTATGTACTCTTTTGGTGAAGAAAAAGTACACACTTTTGAGTGTGTAGTAATAGAGTAGGCAAGCTTTGGGACATACTATCACTTCACACAACTGTGGGTCTTTAACAGACGCTCTGTCACTGTAAACTGATCTGTCAATCATCTTGTCACAGTTAACATCCTCCACATTGCATTTAATTTAACTTCCTACCATATTGTAGAGAAAAGAAGTAGCACATTGATCTGCCAGTCACGGGTCTTTCAAGCCGAGAACAATGCTCATATTTCATGCATAATGATGCATTTCAAAGTTAACGACCAAACGGATGTTTAATATGAAAGATAACAGATAACATTAAATATTTTTTTTACCAGGTTAAATGTTGAATATTAGTAACTCAAACACCTTTTTCTAAGCCTCTCTACCTAACTGCCGGTCGCGCACATCCGCCATGTTTGTAGTTTTAACGCTTTTTATTAGTGTTTGTAGTTCTGGACCGAATCCTTCAACAAAGCGCAATGGATTGTGGGCAATATTAGCATTAGAGTGTGCACGGATCCACACTTCAAAAAAATCGACCTGAAATAGTAGACCATCCGGGAACTTTTGGCATGCTCTTTTCAACATACCATGCTTTGGGACACACTTATTCTAATATCGCATACTATTTAGGATGGATAGTATGAACATTGAGAAGCAGGGGCTGTCTTCTGGGGCCCTTTCTTCGTACGTCGCTTATTACATCCGAGATGAAATGTCACATCCAAGATGATATCATCGCGCTAATCAGGATCTGGCTAATTCGGTTCTTCGAACGCACCTGTTGTATATGATTAGTATGGCCGGATTGAGTTATCCGAGATAATTGTGCGTTCATGGGTTGGTTTAAAAGGGGCTATGTATCGATCGATATTCAAAACCACGATCAGCAATGCAGTGATTGGCTGGCGGCAAGACAAATTTTGGCTGACGAAAAACGTAACAAATTTTTGGACTTTTATAAGGAACCAGCCAAGCGAACAAAACTACATAAATGTTATAATAGATAAATTAAATGTGCGCTGTTTTTATTTTTTATTTTTTTTACATGATTCCCAATTATTTATATTCAAGATTTCTAATATTTGTACAGGCTTTACATTTTTATTTTAATGTAATAATTAGCAATTCATTTAATTTTATATTTGAACAGATTTGTTACGTGACAGCATTAATTAAAGTTTCTTAAGATCATGTTATCTGCGTCTCCTGCGCTCCCATAATGTCAGCACGCAAATGAATGCACGACTCTACATTATCTGTATAGCATGTGTGTAAGACTCGAATACAATTATGAAAATGATTTTACGACGAATAAATCTTAAAGTACACTACAGTATTAAAGACTACACAACATAATTATATTAATTTTAAATTAATTTTTAAATGGTTATTATTTTAAATGATTGTCCCTGGTTCAGTAGGGTGCTCTTGTAATAAAGTAGCGGCGGCTGAGACCGATTTTAAGTATCAATTCTGTCAATCATCTTGTCACAGTTAACATCCTCCACATTGCATTTAATTTAACTTCCTACCATATTGTAGAGAAAAGAAGTAGCACATTGATCTGCCAGTCACGGGTCTTTCAAGCCGAGAACAATGCTCATATTTCATGCATAATGATGCATTTCAAAGTTAACGACCAAACGGATGTTTAATATGAAAGATAACAGATAACATTAAATATTTTTTTTACCAGGTTAAATGTTGAATATTAGTAACTCAAACACCTTTTTCTAAGCCTCTCTACCTAACTGCCGGTCGCGCACATCCGCCATGTTTGTAGTTTTAACGCTTTTTATTAGTGTTTGTAGTTCTGGACCGAATCCTTCAACAAAGCGCAATGGATTGTGGGCAATATTAGCATTAGAGTGTGCACGGATCCACACTTCAAAAAAATCGACCTGAAATAGTAGACCATCCGGGAACTTTTGGCATGCTCTTTTCAACATACCATGCTTTGGGACACACTTATTCTAATATCGCATACTATTTAGGATGGATAGTATGAACATTGAGAAGCAGGGGCTGTCTTCTGGGGCCCTTTCTTCGTACGTCGCTTATTACATCCGAGATTAAATGTCACATCCAAGATGATATCATCGCGCTAATCAGGATCTGGCTAATTCGGTTCTTCGAACGCACCTGTTGTATATGATTAGTATGGCCGGATTGAGTTATCCGAGATAATTGTGCGTTCATGGGTTGGTTTAAAAGGGGCTATGTATCGATCGATATTCAAAACCACGATCAGCAATGCAGTGATTGGCTGGCGGCAAGACAAATTTTGGCTGACGAAAAACGTAACAAATTTTTGGACTTTTATAAGGAACCAGCCAAGCGAACAAAACTACATAAATGTTATAATAGATAAATTAAATGTGCGCTGTTTTTATTTTTTATTTTTTTTACATGATTCCCAATTATTTATATTCAAGATTTCTAATATTTGTACAGGCTTTACATTTTTATTTTAATGTAATAATTAGCAATTCATTTAATTTTATATTTGAACAGATTTGTTACGTGACAGCATTAATTAAAGTTTCTTAAGATCATGTTATCTGCGTCTCCTGCGCTCCCATAATGTCAGCACGCAAATGAATGCACGACTCTACATTATCTGTATAGCATGTGTGTAAGACTCGAATACAATTATGAAAATGATTTTACGACGAATAAATCTTAAAGTACACTACAGTATTAAAGACTACACAACATAATTATATTAATTTTAAATTAATTTTTAAATGGTTATTATTTTAAATGATTGTCCCTGGTTCAGTAGGGTGCTCTTGTAATAAAGTAGCGGCGGCTGAGACCGATTTTAAGTATCAATTCTGCTTAAAAAGATGCAATCTAATCCTGTTTACATGAAATAAGCCCGCTCCCGATCAGGTTTAAGTTTACAGAGCTGTTGCTATGACAGCAACTCCGGGATGAGCTTCGAAGAATCAAACAATCCAAGATCATGCCAAATCATCAACAATCAAATCCAGCTTACTGAGTTAGCGACGTACGACGAATGGGCGAAAGTCAGTGGCAGGCGAGTTTGATCAAAGTTGGAGCTTACTCTGCAGGAAAGTGGACCTCCAGGGCCAGAGTTGAGAGCCCCTGCTATATTGTTTGATAATTTTCTGTTTAGCTTTTGTAAAGCAGCTTCAGCATTAATAATTGCTCTAAATAAAGTAAACTTAATGTTATTATCAGTGGTAGCAGATGTAGTAACAAGTGGTCAACAGCGCGACAAGCTGGTCACGTGACCTCAAGATGGCCGAGGCCATGAGGGGGCGACCCGCTCTATGCAAAAGTTCAATTTCAACACTGATGACTTCTTCAACTCATGTCAGCGCGCATTATTTTAATTATACTTTTCTAAATTTCCATTATTTTTTTTCTACAAATTACTGAGTGCATATTTAGCAATTTACCTTGATGACTTTTTAGAAGTCCTTAAATAACCTTATCTCTCAATGTCAGTGGACAGCTAACCGCTGTTTCTGCTTCCCTTCCATGAACTCGCTTATTCGTGGACCCGAGATTACTGTGTATTTAACACCACAAACAAAGTTGTTGCCGAGTTACACAGTTTTTTTAAAAGCCAAGTCAAGTACTCTAACTGCGCTGTCAAAGTGAAAGAGCTCCATGGGCGGTGTGAGTGTGTGTGTGTGTGTGTGTGTGTGTGTGTGTGTGTGAGTGTGTGTGTGTGTGTGTGTGTGTCTGTGTTTTCACTAGCACACTTGATCAGAGCGCGCACGGAGGACGAGAGGAAGAAGCCTGCAGTGTGCACTCATGGACTAATATCCAGCTGGAGCAGTCAATACAGTTGGAAATACCTCCATGACAGACTTAAAGGACTCTTACATAACGAGAACATGTGAACTTCACGCAGCTCTCGTGGTTGGCCTACCAACAATCTCGCTTTCGATGATTTTAATGACCCTCTTCCTCGTCTTCATCCTAGGATTTTGGAATAAGCCAGCCAAGCTAAAATCAAAGGTAGGAAACAAATGCATAAATGCATGTCGAAATTTACAAAATATCTTCATGGAACATGATCTTTACTTAATGTCCTAATGATTTTTGGCATAAAAGAAAAATCAATAATTTTGACCCACACAATGTATTTTTGGCTACTGCTACAAATATACCCCAGTGACTTAACACTGCTTTTGTGCTCCAGGGTCACATTTGTGGAGTAAAAGTTAATACTTTGTATTTTGAAGTAAACAGACAAAATTAGACCCTTGGGGTAAGATGCCCCTCAGAATTGGCACAGAAGGTGGCATGTTTTTACTAGTGTTATTATGTTTAAATGTAATACTTATTGTAATTAATGCGGATATTTAATATTTCCATAAGTTAAGACGTACATTTCCGACATCTTCACTTTCATTAAAACCTATAGGTTAATCCAGCGACTTAAGACTGCTTTTGTGCTCCAGGGTCACATTTGTGGAGTAAAAGTTAATACTTTGTATTTTGAAGTAAACAGGCAAAATTAGACCCTTGGGGTAAGATGCCCCTCAGAATTGGCACAGAAGGTGGCATGTTTTTACTAGTGTTATTATGTTTAAATGTAATACTTATTGTAATTAATGCGGATATTTAATATTTCCATAAGTTAAGACGTACATTTCCGACATCTTCACTTTCATTAAAACCTATAGGTTAATTGAGTAAAATCATTACATTTGCATTCATAGTGTTGCTATTATGACACATCTTCAATTAAAATATGGGCAATTAAATATGTAAATATTCATATTTATTCAAGTCATAGAATCATTTTACCTTTCAGATGAAGCTCTTTTACTGGGATTCTGCTTTTTCCATCATCGGTTATTCAATTATTCAATTAAATCATCAAAATAAAATTTTAAATAGAATAGTTGATTTAGTATTTTACATTAATGACACTTGAAAAAATACATAAATCTTAATACGAGTGATCTCAAAAGTCATCTATACATCCAGTAAATGTTTATCAGGGCACCTTCTTGCCGCAGTATTTTACATTGTGTGCTTTAACAACTAAATTAGCAAATATCTCTATTTATTTCCTATAATAAACTCACGGGCTGATGCATCATCATCCTGCACATACTAAACCTACATCTAAATATGTTACAATTTAAAAGTAAATCCACACTGTGCTTAAGAGGGTCATCTTCCCCCATCTTACTCTACATTTTGGCCATAGTTTTATTTATGCAGTAGACTAGTGAGCACAAAGTGCACTAAAGCGTTAAGCAATGTTAAAGGTATATACACCAACAAATACTTTACGGTTCACATGTTATTCATCTGAAAAGTAATGACTCAATCTGGCACACTTTACAATGTATGTAATCCTTTGTTGTGTCAGTTGCTATTAATTTTATTAATTAACTTTTACTAACATTTAAAATGTATTATAGGCATTAGTGCCTATTCCTAGGAAAACAGATAACAGAAATAATTTGAATAAAGGTAACTAAAAAAACTAGTAGTTAAAACTAGTAAGTACTAAAATTGGTACTGAAAGAGAATAGTTGATATTTGAGCTAGAACTCAATGGCACAAGTGTACAATTAATCGTCGTCGTCGTCTTCTTCCGCTTAAGTCTATAGCAGCCCAAAGTTGCTTTCATGTTTATGCTAATAACATTTAAATCGTAAGGGCTAGAAACAAAATTCAACAAAACATGATTCCTTGGCTCAAGACGAACTCCTCATTTTCACAAAAATCTACCTAAATCTTCAGACCATGGCGACAAAAAGTTATGGAGTTCAGCTTCATTCATCAGTTTGACAAAAAGCACGATAAATTGGACATTAGGCAATATCTCCACAATGCTTTAAGCCCGGGATTTTAGATTTTTGGCTGTCCCAGACGAAAGATTGCCATCGTGAAGCAATCGTGGTGATTTCTGTGATCGTGGCTCTTAATCGCTGGTCCTATGTCGTACAGTGCGAGAGGTTCAAAGATGGGCGTTTTCCCGGTCTTGCGACCAAAGATAGCCTACGATAGCTTTCTGGCGGTGTCAGAAATTCAGCATGTTCATTGCACAGTGTGTTTGCAGTTACGACCACGTTTACTGACCAACCAGTAAAAATGCGACATGAAATCAACGCGACATGGCGCTAAAACCTAAAACGGCTTACCTCAAGCTCTTATTCCTTCCTCTTTCGCCGCTCCCACTTTTTTTCAGCACACATAAAAACTACAACTGTCAAAGTGTGATTCATTATGCTCTTTTTGTTACCACTAGCAAATGCTAATGACGTTTTATTCTTCTATAGAAACGTGCGTCGTAGCCTACGAGTCAATAGGTGTCATCATCGTACAGTCTACATGCATGTCGTACCCAAGTTTATTAGATCCATGTCGCACAGTGTGACCAGCAATGATCTTATAGGATTGCTAAAATCGTGCAGTGTGTAGAAGGCTTTAGTTTAGCATATTCAGACCAATCTTGGTGTGTGTTATAACGACCATGACCTGAGAGTACCTGCACAGTTTGGACACAGTGTCACCTAATGAAAAATGGCCATTTTTGCTTATATCTTCTGAACATTTGGCCAAAAAAAAAAATAAATCACAAGACTTGTCAAATGATTTCCCCAAACTTCCCACCTCAGCCATTTTGTGCGTCGATCATAATGAGTTTTGTCTTTTAATTTTTAGAATTCATGAACGCATTGGAATATCGTTACAAAATGCGGTAGTATTAGCAGTAGCACTACCTCGTGGTCAGAAATTATAACTTTAAAAAAAATTCTACTAGGTTTTGATGAATTTGGCCTATTGTCATGAGACTGGTCTTTGTAGGTTCCTTGGGTCATGCCGAGAACATCAATACCAATTATGCCACAGTCGACCATTTTGATGTTATTTGAACACCTACTTTTTTGAACTCGTCCTAGACCGCTGGTCCGATTTTCATGAAAATCAAATCAGAGCATATTCAGACTATGCCGGCACAAATTTACGGATTTCATGTTGATATGCAAATAACGAATTAACAAATTCGATGGCGTGTTGCCAAAATGATTCTGAAGCTGTATCTCTGCAAGGCTTAGGCATATTGACACCAAACTTTGTGTGCGCCAAAATTGTCACTCCACACTGAATACACCACATCAATTAGGCCACATCGCCACCTATTGGTCAAAAGTCAATAGCAATTAAATCAATTCTATTTTTCAACCTATAAATGACTTTGATTACTTGTGTTCTTTTGCCTTTGTTGTGCTTAGCCACTTGATTACTTTTGTTTTCGTTTCCATTGACTGCGCGCTTTGCTTCCTGGAACTGCATATTAAATCAGCACTTCTCTATCTGTGGGACTTTTTCAGAATTTGTCCTTTGTAAGTATTAAAGAAGTGTGTGTGTTCTTTTACAGAGAACTGGAAGATGTGCTTGTAACCCTTGGTGTTTTGAGAATCACATGGAATGCCTTTTGAACTCAGAGGTTTGGAATTCTATCTTAATTCTGAGGTATATCTAAGAAATTAGACTGTTTATTTCCTTTGCTGATTGCTGTGTAAATCTGGCATAACCACAGTTACTAGGTTGCTAAAACTGGTTCTAGGGTGAATTCAGCTTGGGCCACTTTCTACCTTGAAGATAGCCCAGTTGTCGTGAATTAACCCCTAATAAAATCCACTGAAAAAAAAACTGGCATAGGATTTACTTTGAAACAAGTTTCATTCAGAAACTAGTAATACATTTCACAAATGATTACAAAGAAACAGCACGTAACATTGAATTAAATGTGAAGTAGAAAGACTGAAATAGTATTTTCTTGTAAAACATACTCCAATAAAGTTTTAGTTACAATTTGATTTATATTCTTACCATGTCAATTGAAGAGAAATTGTATAGTTCAGAGTTGTTTTGTTGCACCTTTTTGAATATTGAAAACTTCTCAGGGTTTATTTGAATGCCAATTTGTGTATCAAACACATACATTAAAGTCTCAACTACAAAAAAAGCTGTTTGACATTTACTAAACTGAAACCCCCCCCATTGAATCAGTTTTAACTCAGAAATTGCAAAAACTGAAACAATATTTCCTTTTAAAACACACTTTAAATATCTTTGTTAATATGTTGACAAAAGCTTATTATTGATGAATACCATTTGTGACAATGTGCCCCAATAGCAGGCCATGTTGACAAACTATATGGGGTAAGTTGTCATAATGGGAATCTGTCGATAAATAGGTCTGTTATTAGCTGTATGAAACATAAAACAGTTCTTGAAACTGCAAAAATAGAAGGCAAAAACAACAAACTCTTGTTTTGGCCACGAGTTGTCCTGAGTCATTTATATAAAATTACAACATATAACGTGACGACTTGCCCCAACCAAACTGCAGTGTTGTGAGAACACTATTCTAGCTACTTGTTAATATCTACCTTTATTATATAGTCAACTTTATTTACTCTAGCAGTCTTACATTTGTCTAATTGGACTTTTGAACCTTTATAGTTCGAGTTTATAATCGTTGAGATATGGCCCTTGTGACAGCATCCCCATGTGACATCTAGCCCCCCCCCCCCCACACACTAGATGAACTGACACATCTGAGATTTCTAAAGTCCAATTTAAATGGCCTTTTATCTGCTGCTGCCCCATTATAGTGTGCATTAGCTAAGTATGCATGTCTCTGGCTGGTAATATGAACCTGCTTCGAGATCAATCTCTGCCTTGCTCTGCATAGAGCAAACAACACTATTATCTGTTCAGAACAAAGTTGTTTAGCCTTTTTAGTTCGCTTACAACAAAAAGGGTGGAGAACGACCTTAAACGTGATCAGATTGAATTGAAACCTAAATCTGAAACCACAATGACGTTAAGATCTCTTTGGTCACAAGATGGTGGTAAAAATAACAAGGTTTGCAGGAAAACGGTTGTGTATACAGTATATACCACTTGCTCTATTTGATTTGTTGATATCTTGATTTAGTTCATCTGTATTTCCATTGCAACTGAAACCAGCATCTTGCAGTTACATTGACCCTGTTCCAAATCCCAAGTGTGAAGGCTGTTCCAAAAGATTGTACTTTATGCTTAGATACCTTCTTTTGGCCAAATTGCATGTGGAGAAGGTACTTCATGAAGAAGCTAATGCTATAGTACATAATGCATTGAGCTTGGTTCTGGTCCAAAAAACTGATCCCAAATGCGAGAAATGTTGATTATAAATACAAACCCAATTCCAAAAACGTTGGGACACTGTACAAATTGTGAGTAAAAAAGGAATGGAATAATTTACAAATCTCATAAACTTATATTTTATTCACAATAGAATATAGATAACATATCAAATGTTGAAAGTGAGACATTTTGAAATGTCATGCCAAATATTGGCTCATTTTGGATTTCATGAGAGCTACATAAAAAGAAGAGGGGATGCCACACAGTGGTAAACATGGCCTTGTCCCAACTTTTTTGAGATGTGTTGATGCCATGAAATTTAAAATCAACTTATTTTCCCTTAAAATGATACATTTTTCTCAGTTTAAACATTTGATATGTCATCTATGTTGTATTCAAAATATTGAAATTTGAAACTTCCACATCATTGCATTCTGTTTTTATTCACAATTTGTACAGTGTCCCAACTTTTTTGGAATCGGGTTTGTAGTTAAAATTCATTCAGTACCACAAGAGTGTCAATGAAAACATTTCAGTGACTGCATGACTGTGTTGGTGTTTCAGTATAAACACTCATGTTTTTGACACGTTCAGAAGAGCTGCATGGAGAACAGATCAAAACACGGGTCATGAATAAATGGTTAATGAACTGTGCCTGTGAGAATACAATAAGAGGTTTTTTGGAAGCAACACAAAGGGTGCTGGTTTGGGTGTTACTACCTGGACAGCATTAGAACCGCATCAGATGAATCCACAGGCACTGTGGCATTGCAAATGGATTTGTAATGGAGATGGAGCAATTAAAAATGGATTGTGCAGGATTATAAAATCATTTGACTTTAACTTATGTCATATTATGGTTGTTTTTGTTCAGCTGTCTAAGTGCTCTATTGCCCGTGGCTGAAGGTCATGCAATGCAGGCACTGAAAGACCTCCAGAACGCACTCCGAGACAAAGAGACAAAGCTTTTATTCCAAGTAAGTGACATCTGAGCTTTTGATGCATTGTGCAAGTCAAGGAGTAGCCGTACTGTAAATCTCAATCTTATTTTTCTGTTGTCACAAAACCCACTTGGCCTAAATAGTAAATCAGAATCCTAATTAGTAAACTTATTTTTTATTTTTTTTTCCCCAGCGTTCTAATGCAAGTTTGTATACACCAAATACAGATGATATCGAGGTAAGTTAACTTAAAAAAACTCCATTTTACACATTATTATTATTAGCATGGCAATAAACATGTGCTGACTGTGCTCTGTGTTTGTCTGCAGAATTGCACATTTAAGTTTTTCGACTGTTTCCTGATGGAGATGAACGTTCTCTTGTATGAAGAAGACCCAGAAAATGTATACAAGGGGCTGATAAATACAACTTTAGAAGAATATAACAAAAATGTAAGTCAAAGCAATACCACAATGTGTGTGTGTGTGTGTGTGTGTGTGTCAAGATTGTGCATCATTCAGAATTGACATTCCTGAACTGGAATCGTTTTTAAAAATGCATGAAATTATATTATGAATCAACATTTGAAATGTTATGACAATGACACCATAGAAATGTGCATTTCTAAATAAATATATAAATAACATTTATATATATATATATATATATACACACACACACACACGCACATATACATACATATATCTATAAATTTCATATTGTTTATATATTTTAATATAGACTTAAATTTGCAAACAATATGGTGGACACTAGACATTTTGTGGTGCTGTATGGCAAAATTAAAATTGGTTTTATTGGCTGATTATTTTTTGAAAATATTAAACTTGGTATAGAAAAATGCCTAATAATTTAATAAGCACATATTAGAGTGGTATAATATTAAAGAGTGGAGAATATTAAATATGCATAATTAAGAATAAATGAATTTATTGTTAATTACGTAACACACACTAATAATGACTTTTTCTTGTGACTTGGGAATTTTTCAATGAATCATCCTGTCATTCCAATTCAGATTCACAGCCATGAATTGGAACGAAGCTGATTTTCTTTTTCAATTCCGAATGATGTGCATCCCTGACGGTTCTGTTTGTTGTTTGTAACCGCTGGTAATGAGTTTGTGTTTGGACTGCTTCCACAGAAGTGTTCCGAACGATATCCTTGTGAACTACTAGAACTCACCAACCCCAGGGAGTTCTTTGACAGGATGACGAACTTTCTTGAGAAACAGTATGCTCTTTGCAGCCAACCATCTACTATAACATGTGATTAAAATCATACTTTATTTCCCTTAAAGCATGTACAATAAGCTCATTTATCTATTATCATTTTAAATTATACTAGACTTTTTTTTGTTATTAATATTTATATCACATCAGTCTGAAAGTGTCACTATATTAAAGCTGTAAGAATGTTTTATGAATGATTGTTTAACTGTGAATGCCTTGTAAGTGTACAGAATTTTAAGGTGAAAATTGTTTTCATTTAAAATAGGTTTTATATATTGTTTTATATCCAATGTATTGTTACATTAAAACATTTTTTATCAACAGAAATAATGTCATTTGTTACAGTATGTTGAGGTGAACTGGATCACAGAGTAAAAGTTTCTTATCTCAATATGTATGCGTGTTGTTCAAAGGCTGATTTTATGACCTGATCTGAAGGAAACCTGACATCTGATATAATTTTGTAACTTTGAGGAAGAAATAGCTTCCATTGTTTCAATTTGCCTGAGGAGGAATTTCCTGTGTAAATCCTTTGTGTTCCTGACCTTCTCCACCACTGCACCATGAGAGATGCATGAACTACGTTCACATCTCAAATCCCTAACAGACCCTTAGTGTGTTTTTGGCAGGAATGGAAACGAGGCTGTGAGGAATAGAAGTACAGTGTGCTCAATGGACTGTAATGTTGTTTAACAACATAATTGTTCAGCTGACAAAACGTCTTCCCTAAAAAAAAAAAAAGTTGAAAGTTTTGAAAATTACACGATCTAGGACTGTAATGGTGCCTGCCACTGTGAAGAAAGTCTATTCCTCACAACTCAAGACCTTTTCTCTGACCTCTGACTTTGCATCTCGCAATTCTATTTTTTTGGTTTTGTTTCCGCCTCAGCCATGAAAGGTATTGCAACTTTTTTTCCCTCACAATTGTGAGTTTATATCTCACGATTCTGACTTTTCTTCTCGTAATTGAGTTTACATTATGCAAATCGGACTTTTTTCCTTTGAATTCACATGTTAAATTATTATTTTTGTTTCCACCACGCAATAAAAAAAAAGGTAATTGCGACTTTTTATCTCACAGTTATGACATTTTTTCCACGCAATTGCGAGGTTATTTATCAAAATTCTGCATTCTCAATAGCAAGTTGATACCTCAAAATTGTGAGTTTACATCTTGCAATTCTTCGATGTAAATCCGAGTTTACATTTTGCTAAAAAATAAAGATAATTTGCTTCTTTTTTCTTGCAGTTGCGAGTTTATGTCTCACAATTTAGACATTTCTTCTTAGAATTGCAAATTTATATCTGGAAAAAAAATTGCAATATCTTGCAATATTTTTTGTCATAATTGTGAGTATATCTCTCGCATTTCTGCATTTATATCTCAGAATGGAGAGGGGAAAAGTCCAAATTGTGAGAGAAAAAAAAGTGACTTGCAAGATAAGTCCTTTTTTTTTTTATCCCATGGTGGGAAAAAAAGCTTCTATCCTCACTGCCTCATTTTCATGCGGGTTACATTCAATTTGGCATACATTTAATTTGACAAAAGTCTAAACTGTAATATAAATGAATGTTGAAAATCATGACTTGATGATTTCTGAATGTGTCATTTAGCTGCTTACCTGATGATGATGATGTTGAGGTGGTTGATGCTGCAGGTTGTTGACTTTCTCTGACCTTCATGACATTTTCTGAAGGATCTGCAGCACCTCTGTACCCTCATCATCATGAGATTTGAAACACCATCCTAAATCAGCAATGTGAGGAAAGCTGAGGACTGTTAGTCAGGAAGTTAAAAAACTGCGGAACTTATGAATGAACAGACTCTAAAATAATGCTTGGTTAAAAACAAACATTTGGCAACCCAGCGCTGGGTAAATATTGGACAGAACACATGCTGGGTTATTTTGACCCAGCTTGTTGCGTTTTCTACATTTACCCATTTGCTGTTTTTTTTTTGTTTTTGCTGGGTCAGTCAACCTATTGAAGGTTTTTCATTTTAATTAATAAAAATGCACTCTAAAATCTGTTTTATATAGGACAAGAACAGTTTATATACAATCATTTTTTAAATTTAATGTCATGTCAGTCTTTTACAACCATAAAATCATCAAAACCATTCAGTAAAGGTTTTAGGGTCTGACAGCAGCAGCAAGAGCAGCCAATGGGAATCTGTGGGAAGAAATCTGCGATCAGTAGGCTGTTCCAGTTTATTCATGACTTTATTCATGAATTTATGTTTGAAAGGTTACATTAGAAACTCTTGTCTGTCCGACATTTACAGTAAGTTTCAACCAGTCAAACGCATAGCACGATCACAGTTGCAACAATGTATACTGGATCAATTCTTAAGGTGCGTCCCAAAATGCGTAAGTGTACATTATTCTATGACATTTTGTAGTATAAATAGTGCAAGTGGTGCGTTCACCACCGGATGATGCACTTCACCGAAAAAACGAACCCTGCGTTCCATTCGGAAGGGCTCATCCCTATGCCCTAATCCCTTCAAAGGGTTTACCCTACGGAGTGAGAGCTACGAAGGTATGAAGGGTATAGGGGTCAAAAAACTCTTTTTTTTGGAACGCACCTCTGCGTCACATTAACAAGACGATCAAGGAGGCACCTTTGTCGCACATTTTGTACGCTGGTTGACCCCCAATTGTCTTTTACGTCAAATATGATCTATATTTGTGTATGTAATGTAATATGTATTTGCAATGTATATTGTGTCTATGTATTTGAAACATTTGAATGGACTGATAAAGGTAGCGGTAAAGTATTCTGTTGAAGTAAAATGTCGTTTTGACCATAATAATGTACCAAATCTAACTCGTATAAATATTACAGTAGTATAGAAAAATACTATGCATACATTTATCGGTGAAGTCGAACTCTGTGACGCCAGACAACTTCCCTGTGCAAAGGATCATGGGAGCCCGAAGGGTACAACTGATGGACACTTCGGGCTCCGAAGGGAAATCCTTCATTCCGAAGGGCCCTTTGAAGTGGCCAGTTTTGGCCACTTCGGTTTGGAACAACCATTCAATAAGGTGGACATGTTTGTTTTCACTCCGAAGTGCCCTTGGAACACAGCGGAAGTGTGGAACCTGTCGCAGGTTCAATTACATAACGAAGGGGGAGGGGCTATCAGACTCCGATTATGAATGACAACCTTATATAATGCATACTCTATGGTTGAGTGCATAAGTACAAAGTATATAAGTGCATAGTGCATCATATGGGACACAGCTATAGTTTTCACTATTTTGTTCGCAACGCCTAACTTCCAACGATCCAATCAATTCCCGAAGGATGAAATCAAGCCCAGCCCTACATTTTTTTCCTCATTTCAGAAGCCGTTTCACTTGAATATATGTCACAATAGGGGAAAAAAGGACAATCTCAACTTCCATTTCATGCGGACTTTAATTTCATACAGTAAGTTTCCTCTCAGATCAGAACACAAAGGGGGTTAAGGCTAAAAGGCATACAGCAAAAACTACTGGGCATGCGCACATCAATATAGCGTAATTTTTCTCACACTGTACAACAATAATTACTATTTTTGCATTATTGTAAGGGGTAGGTTTAGGGTTGGGGTCGGTGTAGATGTTAATAAAACAATCTAATAGGTAGAAAATTCAATTTATTGTTAGCTTCCGGTTTATGCTGTATCCCTTCTAGCCACAACCCACAAAGGGTGAATTCCAAACGGAAGTCAGCATCCCTATGCCCTACTCCCTTCGAACAGCAGAGCCCTTGAAGTGTGTTCTTTGAAGGGAACTCACTTAGCGAAGGGAATGACTGACCAAATATTTACCCAACCATGACGATGCTTGCATGAGTGCAGCATTCAGCACTCCATCAGTTGTTGCAAATCAATATTTCTTCTTCTTATTTTATTCAAATATTATCGAATTGTGTCTTATTTAGCCTACTATTAAACTTTTTCAAACTTAACTTGTTTACGAAAAATATTTTGTATCATTAAAATAAAGACAAATTTAATTAGCCTATTCTACTTACGTTTGTATGTGAATTCGAAATCAACCCCAACTTTGCTTTAAAATGCATTGCAAGACCTAACCAAAGATCACATGAAATCACTTCCGTGAAGTGACCATGTTCCCTTCGCTAACAGACTTCTGGAAGGGCCATTCATTCATACCTGCACTTGCGGTCTTTGCACTTGACCACTTATATGACCTTTTTCCTGTGTTTGGTCCAATTGTTCAAGTGAGCATGAAGACCACAAGTGTGTGTAGAACTTTTCATGATGGGACACACTTATAGTGTTGTAAAAATGCAATTGTTTACAGAGCTCTATTTTTATTTTCAAAACTTTGCATTTTAAAATCAACTTCTAAATGTCTGTTCAGTAGTCCCTATAACAGATGACACAATTTAATTTTGTGGTGCTTCTAATTAAGTGATAAAAAGCAGTTGCAAATGTTATACAAAATAAATATCACCACTACTCACCTTTGCACCAATAAAACATGCAACTCTGTCTTAATACCAAATTATTTGTAATATCTAACTATTATTTATATTTAACATACATTGGAAAGGTTTCCGTGACCTCTCACGAGATCTCTGCAAAAAGTCTCAAGATTTAATTTCACAACATGATGCATGATGGGATATACTAAGCCTTGAAATTTCGCCCAAATGACCGCTGACAAATGTAACCAGTTTGAACCGTTTTGGCAAAGTGCACTGACCCAGCGCTGTGCTGTGTGAGGGCGTTCATCATTTGTATTGACAGTTGACCCAACACCTGGGTAAAAAATTTTTTTTTTAAATAACCAAGGACTATAGCCAATAAAATGACCCAACAGGCTAATATGGGGGTAGAATTGTTGCTTTATTCCAAATAAATAGATTATGCTCCACAAATAAATGTAAAGAGATTAACAACAATTAAACATATTGACGAATAAATAGAATGAGATCCACAAGTAAATCTTAGCGTTTCACAAACATGAAATAAATTCACAAATAAATAAAATGCAATTTGCAAATAAAAAACATATTCACAAATATCTTTTTAAGTCACAAACACAACTTTGCCTGGCATTCATTTGTGAATCACTCGCTGTGCATTTGTGGATTTTGAAACATTTCTAGTGTCGAGACACACACCAATCCACAAATGCGTGGACTCCACCCACCGTCTACTCAAGCCAATCAGATAACAGCCACTCTTCGC